AAAAAAAAAAAAAAAAACAATCACACCCTTGAAATATGAGAAAAGATTATAACCGATGAAATTTGAACTTTTAAGTTAAGGTATGAGTTCAAGTATATTAAATTTTAATAATAGAGTGTCTAACATAAAACCAAATACATGAGATAACCTTTGTTATATATATACCCTCGCAGTAGGAAGCCTATATTAGGGTTCATAAAAGGCTACAACTTAGTTCTTAATTATGATATGTTGAAATTAACATTATATATAAGATTCAAATTCTAGAAAAATAGACCAAGTGATCAATCAGTACCAAGTTGAAATTAAAAATCATGGGCTTGACATATATGAATGACAAGCTGCCTAATTAAACGTCAATATCATATGTGGGGATGCATTAACTTTCCTATTTATGAATGTATGTTATGTCACGGGATTCATAGATTCACACTTGTTTAATTACTTTCCTTTGCCTCATGATTTATTTCATGAAATATAATTTTAATTAGCCAAATTAATGTAGCTTCCCTTCAAGGCTTACATTACTTCCTCCTCCTTTAAAGCAAAGCAAATAGAAAACGGTGGAAGAATGGGTGCCCACTGCCTCATCAACTTCCAACTACACGACCAAATTAAAATAATTATTTTTGATGTTGGTCATTTCGGCTTCTTCCCTCACGGGAGTCCATCTGATCATATTAAAGTGATTACAAGACCGACAGACAATGTCCATGGACCAGTTCCAATATATCCGAAGGAGATTCAATGGATTGTAACATTTAATAAAGTTTGAATTGTTGACTATATGTTGATTTAATATTTTTTTTACTAATTTATCAGCTTATACATAATCTAAATAATAAAAGAAAACCCAGCATCTAAAATAGTTGAAAATAAAACATATATATATATATGCTACTGCCTAGGCATACCAAACAAAGATATTTATTATTAATAGGGAATAATATTAATTAGAACTACGTCTTTTAATAATCAAACACAAAGCTGAAAAGAAATTAGATGTGAATGAATCCAATTAACGATAGAATCCTTAGGCATGCAGGATAATTAAAATGTTATTTAAAGATAAAATGATAATCAACTACGAAAGTAGCTAAGACAGTATGAAACTTACTGATAAGGTAGCCTTGAAACTTACTTCACCACACAAGTCAGATTATTTGAAGTGCAGAAGGATACAATCAATGCAATCTTAATTACTCCATTGGCAGGCAAGAAATAATTAACAGTTGTACATTTATTTTGAATTGCATGTGGGAAAAGAATCTGCATATGTGGTGCATTAATGCTGATAATATTAATACTGGTGCAAAACCATCGACTATTAGTTAAAAGTGGAGGCCACAAATATTCAGAGAAATGTTGAAACCCTAAAACCAAAGACAAATTAAGTCAGGGAGGCAACAATAATAATGATAAGGCTCGAATCCATTATGCACCGAAATATTAGACTTCCAAATCTAAGCTGGATGTACATGCAAATCCAACACAGATCCAGACTGACCAGTGATTGCCCTGGAAAGTGGTACACAAACAACAAGAGTGCCTTCATGGAGTATTGCATGCTCCATTACCATACACAATTTCAAAGCAGCACCACATTCTGCGGTGGGTTAGGTGAATTTTAGTTCTATTTTGTGGCTCAACTCTGAAAAGGCTTTTACTCTTACGTATCAAAAGTTGAAAATTTTCAACTCTTTTTTCTTTTTTTGGTATTGGTCTGTTCATCAATTGCGACGCTCAATCAAGTTATGGCGCAGATTTGGGAAGCACAGTACATTCTCTTTATTTGGATTTTGAGTTTGCGCAGTAACCGGCGCCATTACACGGTCGCTGCCTTCACACCAACAAAATGTGCTCAAATGTTGGAAGGATTTTCAAGTATTTTAATTAAATAAATTAGTGTTCCCTTTAATTAATATTGCTGTTATTTATTTTTTATTTTTTTATTAAAAATTGCTATAGGTAAATAATAAAATTATGAATAAAATAAGAGTCCAAGTGTTTGAAACAACAAATCCAACAAAAAAAGGGGTTGAATATTAAATGAATGGTTTTGTTTTTTATCAACAAACGCTACTATAAATAAATAAGGAATCTTGTATTATTAAAATATTTTGTGACCGTTGTTATGCTATTATTATTGAATAAATCTCCTTCTACATCATATAAGAGACAAAACAAATAATTAAACGGTATAAATAGAAAAACAGCTTTCATTTGTATTTCTAAGAAGGCTTATAAAAACTATATTATCATGAGTAGTAGGAGTTAGCATTTAATATATTATTAACATAAAATTTTAATTATATCAGTAAAATTAAGAAAGTGACATATTTTATATTTTTATTAATTAAAATTTTATCTTTTAAAATATATTTTAAATGAAATTTATTATTTTTTAATTTTATTTGTATAATTAAAATTTTACACAATAATATATTAAATATTAATTTTTAGTAATAATAAAAAATAAATTATAATATTAAAAAATTTGAGAGAATATTAGGTAAGGTTGACGTTGCGCATCACTCATCCAAAAATATATAGTAGTAATGACTATTGTTTATTTGTTTTTCCCATGCATTCAGAATAAAATGAAAAAATTAGATAAAAAAAAAAAAAAAAAGAAGCACTAACAAGGCAGGCATGCCTCAAGAATTCTTTTAAGATTGAATATTAGTAATTTATGTCTTTATTTAATTAAGGATGGGAATAGTAATTTTTATATAGAGAGAGAGAGAGAAGAGCAAGAGAGGGCCAAAAAGCAGCGTCGAAATTGACAAATGAAAATGACTTGAAAAGAAGCATGTTTGAGCAAAACAGAAACGGTGTTCCATCACTCATTATGACTGAAAGAAACTAAATTATTTTCTTTAATGCCATTTCTCATTCTTAATTAACCTTTTCTTTTAACTTTTCCGGTCTTTGCTTGCTTTTTTTCATGGTTCATTGCATTTTAGGCGTAATAGAGGCTAATTCCACTACCCCCAATCTATCCGTTTATCAAGAAGCTACTTTCAACTCTTAAGTTAGATTATTATTATTATTATTATTATTATTCAAATTTTGTTTCACAAATTAATTCCATGATGATTAACAAAGCAACCAACATTACACGACGTCCGAGATAGAATCATCATCACTTAACTCCTATCTCAAATTGATTTTAGTAAGTAAAAGAACTAATTAAGAATTAATTAAGCTGTATTTATGTATTTGTTAAAGATAGTTAAAATACTATTTTAAGCAAATTTTCTCTTATTTAACAACTACCCTCACCAAATTTAAAAATAAATAATAAGTTAAGTATATTCTTGCCATATATATCACTTTAACCAATAAGCATTGCTTGATATTATATATTTTATTTTATTTCATTTTTTTAAAATAATATTTTTTTACCATAAAATATTTACACTATTGTTCTATACCGCAGCAATTCGCGGGTGTCGTGGATCTGCTTATCATCCACAAAAATTTCACTTTAATCTTTTTTTTTTTTTTTTTTTTTTGTGGGTACATAATGGGGTCATTTACCCAAGGCACCACGTTAAGCCTTTTTTATGTTTGAACAATAACCTGCAGTCTCTTCTTCACTTTTTGCTTTTTGAATCATCATTTAACATTAGATATTTTCTTTAAAAGATAATATGTATAGTCGATGATCAATGACTTAAATGATATTCCTTAAGTTCCGTAAGTTATGCCTGATTTTAAATTTTTTGTAGTAATTAGTGATTTATCATTTTGCAAGATATATATATAGTTAATTATTTTTAGCAAACATGATGTATAATAATAATTACTCAATAATTGGTATATGAATTTTACACTACTCATTATCTCAAATCAAGCCAAAAAAAAAAAAAAGGTGTAGCAAATCGAGAAAGTAATTAAGACACCAAAAATAAGATGCAAATTTTGACTGTAGACTTAAAGCAATCAGCTCCCATTTTGCTTTGAGTATTGGGCGGGATGAAGAAAGTAATCTAAGAACAATTAAATATTCTTAACCAACAACTATCGTTGACTTCGACTCACTTTTTTGTAAAATTTTGTTAGATGTAAAACAAGTCATAGTTTAAAACTAAAAAAATTGTAAAATTTATAAATTTGAATCCCATATTTATTAGTCCCTCCCATTCAAAATATTTTTCATGTATTAATTTTTACATGATTTAAGAAAAATTTTTATTTTTAACATATTTAATATTAAATTTTAAATTTTTTATAAAATTAAAATTTTATAATTTTTAATGTCAAAAAATTAAAAAAAAAACATAAAATCTAATTTTAAAATATAAAAAATAAGAGCTTTAGATGCTTAAAAAAAGTACATAATTTTGAGATATTCTAAAAAAATAAATAAAGAAAACGGGATAATATATTTTAAAATTAATTATATGAATCTAAAATCAATTAAACTAAGCTTTAAACTTTACTTTTCTTAAATTTTGAAAAAAATAAATATTATTATACTACTATGCAGTCTACGCTGCCGATGAAAATTAAGGAGTTAAATATGGAAATTAAATGCTCAAATATAAGCTCTCCAATGTGTCATATCGATATCACCAAGGCCTAAAGAAAATTGATTAACAATAAAGAAATAAATAGATAATAATGTATATACCTAGCTATCTAGCTGAAAGGAAATTATAAAAAGGAAAATGTAGCAGTGTGTTAGCTTAGCTTAGATGGCAGTTTTTGTTGTTTGAGCTTTTACGCATGGATTTGCACCAGGCCATACTTTTGGTTTGGACTAGATATTTTTGTAAGTCGCATACATCACAAAACATATAGTGTACTCAAACAGAAATTACATCGAGTAATTGGCACTAAAAATTAATGGTCCCGACCATTGTTCTTAATTTCACCAGAAACTGATTATGACGTTACGATTAGCTCAATTACACGTCTGGCTCCATTAAAACATAGGGTTCTTCATCTATAAAACTTACTCAAAGCCTCATGAGCAGAAGCAAATTAGGGAACAAGAGTAGCAAACAATGGCATTTTCGTGCCTTTCCATTTTTTTATTACTTTTAGTCCTACTATCTTCTTCAACAACAGCTTCCATCTCTAGGTCTTCAAGTTTCATTCAAGAAAAGTTTATCCAATGCTTTAACGCCAATTCCGAGTTTGCCATTCCTCTCTCCACCACTTTTTTTACCCCAAGCAATTCTTCATTTTCCTCTGTCCTGCAATCCACAGCACAAAATCTCAGGTACCTGATGCCTTCCACGCCAAAGCCTGAGTTTATCATCACACCTTTGAATGAATCCCATGTTCAAGCTGCTGTCATTTGTTCAAAGGAGCTTGGAATTCACCTAAGAGTCCGCAGTGGAGGCCATGACTACGAAGGACTCTCTTATGTATCCGAAATTGAATCACCTTTCATTATTGTTGACCTTTCCAAGCTTCGGTCAACAAAAGTTGACATTGAGGACAACAGTGCGTGGGTAGAAGCTGGTGCCACTGTTGGTGAAGTTTATTATAGAATTGCTGAAAAGAGCAAGACTCATGGCTTCCCCGCTGGTCTTTGCACTAGCCTAGGCATAGGTGGGCACATCACAGGAGGTGCATATGGTTCCATGATGAGAAAATATGGCCTTGGCGCTGATAATGTCATTGATGCTAGAATTGTTGATGCCAATGGAAGAGTTCTTGACCGAGCAGCCATGGGCGAAGATCTTTTCTGGGCAATTAGAGGCGGTGGAGGAGCAAGCTTTGGCATTATCCTTCAATGGAAGATAAAGCTGGTTCCAGTCCCAACTACCGTGACAGTTTTCACTGTTAGCAAGTCACTAGAACAAGAGGCTACAAAGATCCTTTATAGTTGGCAAAAGGTTGCAGACAAGCTTGATGAGGATCTTTTCATTAGAGTCATTATTCAAGTGGCAAACGCAGGCAAAAAGGGTGAGAAAACAGTGACAACATCCTACAATGCTCTGTTTCTTGGTGACGCTGAAAGGCTCCTCCAAGTAATGGAACAAAGCTTCCCTGAATTGGGTTTGACACGAAAAGACTGTATTGAAACTAGCTGGATCAAATCCGTGCTTTACATTGCTGGGTACCCAAGTAACACACCTCCTGAGATTCTACTTCAGGGTAAGTCTTTGTTCAAGAACTACTTTAAAGCCAAATCAGACTTTGTGAGAGCAGCCATACCAGTAACGGCGCTTGAAGGGCTGTGGAAAAGACTAATGGAGGAAGACAGTCCACTGATGATATGGAACCCTTATGGTGGAATGATGAGCAAGATTTCTGAATCAGAAATTCCTTTCCCTCACCGAAAAGGTACCAAATTCAAAATACAGTATGTGACTCTATGGCAAGGTGGGAATGAGAATGCAACCAAGCATATCGATTGGATTCGAAGGCTATACAGTTACATGACGCCTTATGTTTCAAAGTTTCCAAGAGCTGCATACGTGAATTACAGGGATCTTGATTTGGGCATGAACAAAAAAATCAAAACAAGTTTCATCAAGGCCAGCGTTTGGGGAACCAGATACTTCAAGGGTAACTTCAACAGATTGGTGAAGGTGAAAACTAAAGTCGATCCAGACAACTTCTTCAGGCATGAACAGAGCATTCCACCTCTTCCAGTTGAAACTAGATTTTAGGCAACAATTAATTAAATACCAGATGGCTTGATTTCCTTCACTTTTATCCTTAATTGGTACTCCAATATTTGCTTTTCTTTTTTTTTTTTTTTGTCTGTGAAAGAAAAAATAAGGATAGTTGAATACTAGGTACATATATACTATCATCTTCAAAGCTTGTAGCTACACTAGAACTGTGATATCTTGTTCTTTTCTATGTTAAGTGGTTCTATGATTGTGTTGGTCAAACGCTTTATTAATCGAATTAATTACTATTAATTTTCAGATTTTCTTCATCAATTCACTAATTTTTTATTTATTTATTTTTTTTAATTTAGTTGAGTTCAAATTGACGAAAAACAATATATTATGGTTATTTTATTCAAACGATTAAGAATAAAAATTTAAAATTGAAATGATCATTTGTTCTTTTAGTAAAACTAGTCTTTCCTAACGTGCTTTTTTTTTCACGTAAAGTATAATATATAAATAATTATTATATTAAGTAAATATCATTTAGATTCGTTAATTATATGTTCTACTAAGAGGATCACTTATTCATTTACGGTGTGTTTGATTTAATTTTAAATAATTAAAGTTCTTTACTCTGTTTGATGATTTAATTTTAGAAATCAATTCATGGTGGGTTTTCTATGAAAAAGTGCTAAAAATTTTAAGTAACTAAAAATTTGTTAAATGAAATTTTTTATAGGAATAATGGTTCAAATTTAATAAAAAAATTTATTTGAGATTTGTTAGATATTATTTGATGGACAAGAAGAATTACAGAAGAAGAATTACAAAAAAAAATTCTAAAAGGAAATAAATTCTTAATATGCAAGTTTGACTTACAAAAAAAAATTTTAAAAGTAGAGGGATTTTTAATATACAAGTTTATATAATTATATATAAGTGAAGTCTTTATAGGATTAGGTATGAAAAAAAGATATAAGAGAGTTATAAGATTTTATAGGATAGACACTTCATAAGACCACTGGAGATTTACGTTTTATGAGTGTGTATGTTTGTAAGGTGCATGAGAATAGACTAGAGGAGACTGAGATGGTCTACATAGGTATGATGTATGGGTGCATATGGATATATATTTGGTTGTGTTGAAAGGGTGCACATAGGAATGTATTTGTTTGGATTGAGAATACTTCATAAGATTAGAAGAGATTACGAGGTTCTATGGGTATTGATTGTTGAGTGGTTGATACATTTTGATGTATGTTTGTAATTCTCTATAACTAGTGGATCCTATTGCTCATCCGTGAACGTAGGTCAGTTGACCTGAACCATGTTAAATTGTTATCTTTTATGTGTTTGATTGATTGTTTGATTATGCTTTAATTTACGAAAATTAGATTGAGACTTTTGGCCTAACAAGTGGTATCAAAGCTATAGTGATTTTCTAACAAGTGATATCAAAGCATGGTTTGAAACACGGGAAAAGGCAAGCTTAAAGAAGCTCGATTTAAAGAATAAGTTTGAGTTCATGTTTTGAAGATTGATTTGCATAAAGTGTAAAGGCATACAAAAAAAATGATTGTGAGACTTCCATTATAGGTGGAGCCAAGCATATCTAGCATGAATACAGATAATTAATAAAATTTGAGTCAATGTGAGATTGTTAGGAATAATAACTTAAATTCTATAAGAGATTTGTTTAGGATTTGTTAGATATTACTTAATTAATAAGAAGACTTGCAGAAAAAAAATTCTAAAAGGAAAATGATTCTTAATAAACAAGTTTGATTTACAGAAAAAAAATTTTAAAAGGATAAGAATTTTTAATAGGTAAGTTTGTATGATTATAAATAAGTGAAGTCTTTGCAGGATTAGGTTTGAGAAAAATATGTAACAAAGTTGTAGAGTTTTATGAGACAGACACCCCATAAGACTACTAAAGATTTATCTTTTATGAGTGTGTAAGTTTGTAAGATGCATGAGAGTAGACTAAAGAAGACTGAGATGGTCCACATAGGTATGATGTATGGGTGCTTATGAGTATGTGTTTGATTGTGATGAAAGGATACACATGAATATGTGTTTATTTGGATTGAAAATACTCCATAGGACTATAAGAGATTGAAAGAGTTTATAGTTATCGATTGTTAAGTAGTTGATATATTTTGATGTATGTTTTTAATTCTCTACAACTAGTGGATCTTATTTTTCATCTGTAGACGTAGGTCAATTAGACCAAATCACGTTAAATTGTTATCTTTTGTATGCTTGATTGATTATTTGATTATATTTTCACTTACGTGAATTAGATTGAGGCTTTTGGCCTAACAAGTGATATAAAAGTTGTAATGATTTTTCAACAAGTGGTATCAGAGCATGATTCGAGACATGAGAAAATGCAAGCTTAAAAGAGCTCGATTCAATGAAGAAGTTTGAGTTTGTGTTTTGAAAATCGATTTGCATGAAGTGTAAAGGCGCACAAGAGAAAATGATTGTGAGATTTTCATTATAGGTACAGTCAAACATGTCTAGCATGAAGACAGATGATTGATGAAATTTAAGTAAAAGTGAAGATTGTTAGGAATAATGACTCAAATTTCATAAGAGATTTGTTTAAGATTTATTAGATATTAATTGATGGACAAGAAGACTTGCAGAAGAAGAATTCTAAAATGATAGAGATTCTTAATCGGTAATTTTGTATGATTATAAATAGGTGAAGTCTCTGTAGGGTTAGTTATGAAAAAATGATGTAAGAGAGTTGTAGGGTTTTATGGGATAGACACCTTATAAGACTATTGGAGATTTACGTCTTATGAGTGTGTATGTTTGTAAGGTGCATGGGAGTAGACTAAAGAAGACTGAGATGATTCACATAGATATAATGTATGGATGCATATAGGTATATATTTAGTTCTGTTGAAATAGTACATATGAGTATATGTTTGTTTGGATTGAAAATACTTCATAGGACTAAAAGAGATAGAAATGGTCTATGAGTATTGATTATTGAGTGGTTGATACGTTTTGATGTATATTTGTAATTCTCTATAACTAGTAGATCTTGTTTCTCATCCTTAAAAGTAGATCAATTAAACTGAACCACGTTAAATTATTATTTCTGATGTGTTTGATTAATTGTTTAATTATACTTTTGCTAACATGAATTAGATTGGGGCTTTTGATGTAACAAGTGGTATCAGAGCTGTAATAATCTTTAACAAATTTCTTATTTAATTACAGTAATATTATATTCTTTCATTTTAATCATTTATTTTTCTTTTTTTTTAATTATTGATATAAACATTTATAAAATCATATTTCTCTTACAAAAGCTTCAATACTCAACATTTAAGATCTAAAAATTGTTAGTATTACTTAGAGGTTTAAAATATATAATGATAATGCTAACTTTAATACCTTTATGATAAAAAGAGTATAATCAATTTGCTAGTATTTTACTGTCATATGGATTTTATATTGATATGAAAATCGATAAACAATTACTCAATTTTTTAAATTCTAATTTTAATAAAGAATTATGATTAAAGATAGATTAATTAATGTCTCAACTTTCAATGTTTATAAAAGAGTTATCGCAATAAGTAAATTTAAAATATATTATTTAATGAATAAGTTAATAAAAGTTTATTTATTAACACCAATAAATTTGGTAAAGTATTGAATTCTTATTTTAAATTATTAAAATTTAATTTTCAATAATTATAAATTCAAAAATATTAGTTAAAAAAGTTTAATATTATTAATAATAAAAACTCATTAATATTTTAATTTAAAGATAAACATGAAAAAGGGGAGAATCCTTTTTACCACTTTCAAAGATATATCTCCACTATTTTATCTATAGTTAAAGTTTTTTCTACCTCATTTTTTAAAAGCAAAATACAATAATAAAAGTTCTATCATATCTAATTTAATTACTCTCCGGAAATGATTTAAAATTGATTTAATTATTCACTCAAAAAACAATTTCCTCTTTTTCTTATTGGATACCAACGAAGACAAAATAAATAAATAAAACTCAATTGAAAAGACATAAATTGACGGAATACAATTAAGCAACAATTTCTTTCACTCCTCCAATTGTCTCATCTTTTCTTTTTTTTTTTCCTTAATCAAGTACTCGAATGACAACAACTTCTTTTCTTGCTGAATTATCAATGAACAACGAAATAAAACAAAAGAAAATGAATCAATTGAAAAGACATAAACTCCCAACAGATGAATCACGAGATGCAATTAAGCAACAATTTCTTCCACCTTTTTCTCCTATTGGCTTTGAATCTCTTAGGGTTCTCTCATTTTTTTCAGCAACTTCCTTCCTTCAATATGGTTAAACTTGTGTTCATAGAGTTCAAAGTAACTTTGGCTTTTGAAATTAAATACAAGATCTTGTGTTTCCTTATTCATGGAAACTTGTCGAACTTGTACAATTCAATGTTTATAATAATATGACTAAATTAAAAAATATATGTATGCTTAATTTAATTTATTATCTAAATTTTTATTTTTTATTACAATTAGTTTATGTTGCACGTGAATGTCATATATAGTTAAAATATTGAAAAATAATATTTTTATGATCATGATTTGATCGACCTCCTATTAATTAACATTTAAAGTACAAAGACATAAACTATATGCTAATAAAAATTTTTATTTTTCAAGAAGTTTTTATTGTAGTGATATTGTAATGCAAAAAAAACAAAAAATTTTAATTTATTTTTCAAGATATTTTATTGATTCTATATTGAATTTATGCAATTATTTTAAAAGTATATATATTAATTGGCCTTGGCAAGTTTTTTATATGTTAAAAAAACTTTTCATTAATAAAATTTTTTTAATTAGATTTTACCTATATTTAAGTCATTTCAAAAGTTAAAGAAAACATATTAAAGAATTTAACTTTGAGGAAAATTTCTACCCATACATAAACTATTTTTAACTCGTATAATTATTAAAAAAAACTATCACTACCTTTCCTTGTCTAACTTTAGTTCCTATGGATGGTCTTATTATATTCTTGTTCCTTAGTATTGCTTTACTACATTGGCTCTGTGAATTTTATTTGTTCGGTTTTAGTTTCTATCTAAACCATTGTTACATGGTGTTTACACCTTTCCTGGAGCGTGTTTGGTTATGAGATAAGTTAAATTATTTGTAAAACTTTGCTTTCCATAATGTAATTTTCATATTTGATTCATGGTGTATGATTTTTAGAGGTATTTTAACATTTTCAATAATGTCTAAATATTAAAAAATTAAAAACTCATTTCTCTTTATAATTTTTTAAAATTTTAAAAAAATTAATTTTATCTTACATTTAATCTCAATAATAAATTTTTTCAATTTATTTTTTCTTTAAAAATTAATGCAATTATATGATACATAATGATCTATTCCGACATGAATTTTTTTTATAAAGGAAAGTACTCTATTATTTTATATATAAAATGTAATATATCAATTAAAATAATAATAAAATAAATATATCATCTATATATTTTATGTTAAAAACGTAATAATTGATATAATATTATAAAATAATATTTATAATACTTTTAACAATATTTTATATAAAAAAATAATATTTAATAATAAAAATCATATTTTTTACATAAAAACATATTTTTTTAAAAAAATTATATTTGTGATAAAAAATAACCTTTTAAAAATAAGAAAAATCTCGTTTTTTAAATAATAAAACGTGGATGATATCTATACAAGATGACGGCATAAAAGAACGGATGAAATTTCTTAAGTTGAGCAACATGGATGGCCCACGTGTAATGGAAGGAAGCAATGATGCTTGATGATAGATGTCAGATGGGGTCCAAAGAAGAGACTAATGAGGCGTGATATTGTTGGATACTGTGATTAGATGGCACATCGTTATCATCGTCAACTTTCAAAGACTAAGTTTATCAAGTAAAAAACGTGGTCTTTAAACAAAAACTACGTTTAAAGACTACATTTTTATATGTAAATATATAATTTTTAATAAAAATTAAATATTAATTTTTTTCAAAAACGTTGTCTTTAATTACATGTAATTATTTGATTAAAAAATATAGTGATCAGTTATTTTTAAATATTACATTTATTTTCATAAAAAAATAATATTTGTTATAAACACTTCTTTTATATAAAAAATAATTTTTGATTTATTATATATTAAAAATGTAATCTTTGATTTTATATGTTTTAATCAAAGATTATGTTTATACTTACAAAAATGTAATCTTTGATTTTATATGTTTTAATCAAAGATTATGTTTATACTTATAAAAATATAATCTTTGATACTATTGCGAATACATAATAAAAATTATAATAAAATAATTTTATAAAATAATTTAAAATTTTAAAAATTAAATATAAAAATTAAATATTTTTATTATATAAAGAATCACCTTTATCATGAACTCATATTTTCTCAAAAATTAATAAGATTTAGCGAATCAAATGGAATGGGCGTTACGTTAAAATTATTTTTTTTTATTTTACAATTTAGTTGTTTAGAAAAAACAAAAGGTAAAGGAGACAATTTTCAATTTTGACCGGGTCAGAGTGATTTAGACATTTATAAATGTAAACAGAAGGAAAAGGATAGTTTTGGGTGGCATGTCTTGTTCTGTCGGCTACGCTCGTTTCACCGCCTTAAGCAGTTAAACCTATATCTAGTGTTAGGTTTGGGGAAATGAGAAAGCAAAGTTATGCAATGCAGGAATGTCTTCGTCGTCAGAATTGAAATTTATTAGTGGAATTGGACTGACACATTTTCTTCATTTCTACATATGATTATCAAATTCTCCAATTATTAGAGATTTTGCTTCTCATTAATCATTATGGCTTCAGTTCATCTGGAGCCTATATAAAATTTGATTATATGAAGATGTTGAAAAGAAAATGATCAGGTTAGAGTTTTTTTTTCAACAATGACGTGATTTGTTAAAAAATATTAATTTTTAATTTTAATTATTAAAATTCAAATTTTTACCTCTTTAAATATAAAAGAACTTTATCAATTACCTGGCTTGATAGTATTAGAAAATACGTTTTTCATTTTAAAATGTTAGTCATGTATTTATTTTTATAGTGTTTAAGAAAAAATTTTAATTTTAATATATTTAACATTAAATTTTAATTTTTATAAAATTAAAGATTCATAATTTTTAATATTAAAAAATTAAAAAATTTAAAATATAATTTTAAAGTATAAAAAAATTAAATGTTAAAAAAAAGAATATAATTATGGGACATTTCAAAACAAAGATGAAAAAAAAATGAGATAGTAGGAGTAAATATTTAACATCTTTAATTATCAGAAAATTATCAGGCTCCGAAGAAAGAGAAACTTTCTAAGTGGGGCAAGCGAGGAAATAAAAAACAGAGCCCCAACCAAACAAGCCCAACTTGACTTGGAAGAAGAGACTTTATAGGCATAAGAATCTACAACTACGTGGCCTGATAGCATTGGAAAATAAAATAGTAGTTTAAAAACTTTTGAAAGACCAAAAAAAAAAAACACATTGAAAATTTTGTAAATTAAATGGTTATGTTGTTGTGCCCGGCTGATATATTTCAGTGGGAGGTTAAAAAAACACAGAAAAATGGTTAAGAAGGTAATAGTGGATAGTTATTTGCGGACTTTGGAGCCTTCATGACGTTAGGATTAGCTCAATCACACGTTTTGGTTGATTAAACCATACCAGCTCCTCTATAAGACTAGCTTAGAAGCTCACATATTCATGAATAGAGAAAAAACACACACACAAAAAAAAAAAAAAAAGGGAGGGGAACAAGGGTAACTGAAAGAATGGCATTTTCATGCTCTTCCATTCTCCTACTACTTTTAGTCCTGCTTTCAGCTTCATGGGCAACTTCAACTTCGATTCAAGAAGACTTCATCCAATGCCTTGATGACAACTCTGAGCATGTCATTCCCATCTTTACTGTTTGCGCCCAAACCAACTCTTCATTTACTTCTATCCTAAACTCCACTGCACAAAACCTCAGGTGCTTGATGCCTTCCGTGCCAAAGCCCGAATTTATCTTCACACCTTTGAATGAATCTCATGTTCAAGCTGCTGTCATTTGTGCCAAAAAGCTTGGAATTCACCTGAGATTTCGCAGCGGAGGCCATGACTATGAGGGCCTCTCTTATGCATCTCAAATTGAGACACCTTTCATTATGTTAGACCTTGCCAGACTTCGAGCCATCAACGTCGATATCGACGACAACAGTGCGTGGGTTCAAGCTGGTGCCACTGTGGGTGAAGTTTATTACAGAATCTCTGAGAACAGCAAGACTCATGGCTTCCCTGCTGGTCTTTGCTCAAGCCTAGGCATTGGTGGACACATAACTGGAGGTGCATACGGCTCCATGATGAGAAAGTATGGTCTTGGTGCTGACAATGTCCTTGATGCCCGAATTGTTGATGTTAATGGCAAAATTCTTGACCGAGCAGCCATGGGCGAAGATTTTTTTTGGGCAATTAGAGGAGGTGGAGGAGCAAGCTTTGGTATCATCCTCGCGTGGAAGATAAAGCTGGTTCCTGTTCCAGAAACCGTGACTGTCTTCACTGTTCCAAAGACTTTGGAACAAGGTGCCACAAAGATCCTGTACAGATGGCAACAAGTTGCAGACAAGCTTGATGAGGATCTTTTCATTAGAGTCATCCTTCAAGCGAGCAAAGCAGGCCAGAAAGGAGAGAGAACAGTGACAACAGCCTACAATGCCCTGTTTCTTGGAGATGCTGAGAGGCTCCTCCAAGTAATGAACCAAAGCTTCCCGGAATTGGGTTTGACCCAAAAAGACTGTATTGAAACAAGCTGGATCAAATCTGTGCTTTACATCGCCGGATTCCCGAGTGAAACACCTCCGGAAGTTCTACTAGAAGGAAAGTCACTATTCAAGAATTATTTCAAAGCCAAATCAGACTTTGTGCAACAACCTATCCCTGAAACCGGTCTTGAGGGGCTATGGAAAAGGTTGTTGGAAGAGGACTCTCCGTTAATGATATGGAATCCTTATGGGGGAATGATGGCCAACATTTCAGAATCTGCAATTCCTTTCCCTCACAGAAAAGGTAACTTATTCAAAATACAGTACGTGACCTCATGGTTTGAGGGAAGCAAGGAGGCCAACACAAAGCACATGGATTGGATTAGGGGGGTGTATGACTACATGGGTGCTTATGTTCCCTCATCTCCCAGGGCTGCATATGTCAATTATAGGGACCTTGATTTGGGAATGAACCACAACACCAACAGTAGCTTCAGTGAGGCTAGTGTTTGGGGAGCTAAGTATTTCAAGGGTAACTTCGAAAGATTGGTAAAAGTGAAAAGCAAAGTTGATCCAGACAACTTCTTCAGGCATGAGCAGAGCATTCCGGCAGTCCTGGACGAAGCCTAGGCCAGAGCCAGATCGATTGGAGGCTTTATCCTTGTTTAATTAATGTTTTCCCAGAAAGAGGAATAAGACAGGTTAATTATTGTATATGCGTGTTTCCTCCTAGTACTATAAAGTTTTGTTCTCGTTTGGTCTTTATCTTCAGCTTCGCCACCGCCACCGGCAATTACGTTGGCACTAGAATTTTTCAGCTAATTAAATGAATGTGAATTGATTTCTGTTTGACAAATCGAGGCCTCAATTTTATTACCATTACCTAACTCTTTGCCACTGCAGAGACTGTACCAAACATACGGTGCATCTACTATTGGCCATCCTATTGGCTATTGCTATGCAAAAATAAATATAGTTTTAAACAAATTAAAACAAAGGACAAAATTCTGCTATGTACCATAGCTTTGGCATATATAATCTTTTTCTCAAATTATGTAGGAGTTTTTTGTCAAATTTTAAAATTTAATCATATATTGTAATTCATAAAAATTTAATTTTTATATTATTTTAATTTAATACTTTTAATTCAATTATTAATTTTATTAATTTTTTTACCTTTAAAAATATTGATGTAGATGTTTGCTCGATAATATGAAAATTGATTTTGTTAACATGAATTTAACTTTATTAACTTAACAAATTAGATAAATAAAATCAATTGTCAAATTTTACAAATGATTATTTTACTTTTATGAAATTTAAATTATAATCACTTTAATATAATTTCATAAAAATAATGTTCTCATACAAATTAAATATAATAATATTAATCTAATTATTAATAAAAGTTAATTTTCTTTTACTTTTTTTAAAATCTAGATTTTAATTTTTTAAAAATCAATATTTTTAATTTAATTTTTTTCATATTTTTAAAATATTAAATTAAATATTTTAATTATTTTAATTTTTTAAAAAATTAAAATATTTTTAAAATATGAGAAAATTCTAAAAATTTGAAATATTATTTTTTAAAAAGAATTAAATTTTAATTTTTAAAAACAAGTAAAAAATATGATTTTTATTAGTAATTGGACCAACATTATTAAATTTAATTTGTATAAGGATGAGATTTTTATGAAATTACACTATAGAGACTAAATTTCAAATTGGTATGAGTACAAAGACCATTTGATAATTTAACAACTAATTTCATTTATCCAAATCAAAGCTACATCAATAAAGTCAACATTAATATCATCAAGTTAATGATCATGTCAATATTTTTAAAGGTTAAAAATTGATGAAGTTAGTAATTGGATTAAGATTATCAAATCAAAATAGTATAAAAATTAAATTTGTATGAATTATAATATATAAACTAAATTTTAAAGTTTGATAAAATATATAAAAATATTATATAATTTGACCAATCTTTTGCTAAAAGATCAAATCCAATATTCTCATAATAAAAGCATGGTACTTTATTAAGATTAAATAAACAAATTATAAGTACAATAAATGTATGACCTTGCTTATATTAAAAGTTATTGTCATAATATATAGATTTGAAAATCTATAGTTAAACTTAACAAATAGAGTCATCGTCAATCTTTTTTAACTATGTATGATTGATTACCTAAAGAATTTTTCCTTTTAATGAACTCCTAAGCTTGACTAAAAATTCTTAAAAGAATAAATTCTGGTCTATTAATCATAATAGGGTTCAGGAGTTCGATTACATATGAGAAAAGTTATAGCACCCTCACATGCTTATCCAAATGATGATATCATTTTATTTTAAATTATCCTAAAGTTTGATCCTGACAGTTTTAAATTTTAATGTTGAATATTGAAAATAACTTTTAAAATTCTCTATCAATCTGGTAGAATTCTTAAAAATATTTTCTTATCTGAAGAGTATTCAAGAATTTCATTTGTTTTCTTGAAGAAGTTCCGTCGTAAAAAAAAGATTTAATCACCATTTTTATTTTTATTTTTTTATTGAAAATATATCTAATTCATTCACCATTTACGTCAAAATTAGAAATATTTTCTTATTTAAAAATTTTTTAAATAATCAACCATTTGCAATTACTAAAAATTTCATCATCGAAATTTTTTTTTTATTTCTAAATTTTTCGTCATTTGGGTCAATTTAAAATTTTCTTTCTGATTTTTAAACTTTTCACAATTTGGGTCTATTTAGAAATTTTTTTTTTTTGTTTTTCTCTTCTTTGAAAGAAAATAATATGATAATTCATTTTTGAAGTTTCATTTAAGTTCTTCCATTATTTGAGATAAATTTAAATAATTTCTTATCTAGAGATTTCTTAAAAAATTTACCATTTAAAATTTTTAAGAATCTCATCCTTAGATAATTGTCAAATATTTTCAACTAAAATTTTTTATTTGAAAAAGAATACAATTACTTTTATTGAAATTTCATCTAAATTATTTCATCATTTAGGACAAATTTAAAAAAATTTCTCACTTAGAAATTTCTCAAAAATTTACCATTTGAAAATTTTAAAAGTCTTATCCTTAGGTAATTAGTATTTAATCTTAAAATTTTTGTTAATTTTTAAAATTTTCTTTTTTATTTTCCTTTTTTTAAATTAAAAATAAATATTAATTATTATTATTATTGAAATTTTATCTAAATTATTTCATAATTTGAGACAAATTTAGAAAAAAATTGTCACCTAAAAATTTCTTAGAAATTTACTATCTAAAATTTCTAAAAAATTCTATCCTTAGATAATTATTATTTATTCTAAATATTTTTGTTTTATTTTTTTTTAATTTAATCATGCTAAAATACTTTAAAAATAAACAAACAAATAAATAAATAAATAAATAAATACCCAAAAACAGAAACAGTTCGGCTTCAAGCAACGAAAGCGACTAGGATGGTGCAGCTCGTGGCTCGGCTCAGTTCGAGCCAAGGATGGGTCCATGGGTCGAAAGCGGGTTAGCGCTTGGGTCAGATTGCTCGAATAAAAACACATAAATCTTAAGGCCTTTTAACCTTTTAAAACAATGCCGTTTTGATTAGCTATAAAAGCCAATTTTTTTTTGGTTCAAATTTCAACTTTGCTCTCTTTCTCTTTTTTTTTTTTTCTTTTTCTCTCCCTCATTTTCTAGAAATCCAGAAATCCTGTCAAATGCTTAAGGTATAATCAAAAGAGTTTTTGATTTATCATGAAATCACTGTTGACAGAGTTTCAGTATTATCATAAACATAAGCTTTATCCTATATAAGTCGAATACACCTATAACTCTACCAACACCAACTCGTGGCAAAAAATTCTCATTATTTTTATTTTTTATCTCTTTTTCTTTTATTGTTACCATTATCTTATTATCCTAAGACCTAATTTAATAAAACTTAAAGATAAATCAACGAAAATCAGAGATAAACAATAGCCAAATAAGTAAATAATCGATTAAAAAATAAATAAATAAAATCCAAAAAAAATAAATAAGTAAATAAATAAACAATACATAAAACATAAAATAATGAGTAATTAGGCCTAACTATTTGGACTCTATTAAGCCAAGCCCAATTAATTTGGATTTGGACCAAATATGATGTCTATAATTGTCTCTTTTTGTGTATTTTTTGTGCAACAAGAATTATACAAAGACATAAACTTTCTTCGTATCTAAATAATCATCCCAACACGCTTATTTTTCCTTTTTTTTTTTTTTAAATCGGACACTCAAACATGTCGAATAATATAAAACTCATTTAAGTAGAGATTCACAACTTTTGAAAAATAAATAAGGCTCCTCTAATAAGAAGCTCAATAACTTTAGAAAAATAAATAAGGTTTCTTTAATCAAAGGCTTAACGACTTGAAAAAATAAATAAAGCTCCTCTAAGCAGAAGCTCAACGACTTTGAAAAATAAATAAAGCTTCTCTAATCAAAGGCTCAACAACTTTAAAAATAAATAAGGTTCCCCCCAGCAGAGACTCAACGACTTTAGAGAAAATAAATAAGACTTTTTTAAACAAAAACTCAACGACTTTAGAAAAATAAATAAGGCTCCAAAGCTTTGTTATAAATAATCTGATATGTACCAGAGCTTTGTCATAAATAATCTTTTTCTCAAATTATGTAGGAGTTCTTTTATCAAAATTTAAAATTTAATCATATATTTTAATTCATAAAAAATTTAATTTTTATATTATTTCGATTTGATAATTTTAGTTCAATTATTAATTTTATTAATTTTTTACCATTAAAAATACTGATGTAGATGTTGGCTTGATAATATGAAAACTAACTTTGTTAACATAAAATTAACTTTATTGGCTTAACAATTTAAATAAATAAAATCAATTGTCAAATTTTACAAATGATTTTTTTTTACTTATATGAAATTTAAATTATAATCACTTTAATATAATTTCATAAAAATAACATTCTCGTACAAATTAAAATTGATAATATTAATCTAATTATTAATAAAAATCAATTTTCTTTTACTTTTCTAAAATTTAGATTTTAATTTTTTAAAAATCAATATTTTTAATTTAATTTTTTTCATATTTTTAAAATATTAAATTTAATATTTTTAAATATTTTAATTTTTTTAAAAATTAAAATATTTTTAAAATATGAGAAAATTCAAAAATTTTGAAATATTGATTTTTTAAAAAAGAATTAAAACTTAATTTTTAAAAACAAGTAAAAAATATTATTTTTATTAGTAATTGGACCAACATTATTAAATTTAATTTTCATGAAGGCGAGATTTCTGTGATATTATACTATAGAGACTAAATTTTAAATTTGTATGAGTTAAGAGACTATTTAATAATTTAACAGTTAATTTTATTTATCCAAATCAACGCTACATCAACAAAGTTAATACTAATATTATCAAGTTAGTGGTCGTGTCAATATTTTTAAAGGTAAAAAATTGACGAAGTTAATAATTGGATTAAGATTACCAAATCAAAATAGTAAGAAAATTAAATTTATCTGAATTATAATATATGAACTAAATTTTAAAGTTTGATAAAATATATAAAAATTTTATATAATTTGACCTAATCTTTTGCTAAAAGATCAAATCCAATATTCTCATACTAAAAGCATGGTACTTTATTAAGATTAAATAAACAAATTATAAGTAGAACAAATGTAGGACCTAGCTCATATTAAAAGCTATAATTGGCTCTCAATAATCAATAATAATTATTTGCATATCACAAAATAAAATTTGGGATGATTCTTTCTAATTATACAGTTGAAGTAAGAATATTGACACACTAAATATCTCCACACACAAATAATTTTATTAATCTAACTAATTATCAATTAACAAATTCAACTGATATTTTAAACGAAGACTATCACACAATTACATAATCTTTTTACTCCCATTTAGTTTATAGGTACTCTTTTGAGTCGCACTTAAAGTTTCACACGAGCCACACTCAAACTCTCTGAGCTACAATTGCAACCTCATGCAAACTTTAAACAAAATAATATATTTATAATCGAACTTTAAAGTCTTAAAAGACCCACCAATAAGATAACTCCTAATAAAATATTAAGTATAATAAATAAATTAAATAACCACACTAAAATTATAAAACTTGGTTTAATTGCCTATAAATATAAACTCATTCCCTATAATGTTAATATCATATCATTCTTTAATTTAAGAGCAGCTTTCAAAGTTAAAATTAATATTAACAAATAGCCTATTTAATTATCCTTAAGTTACAAAAAAAAAAAGGCTACTGCCTATTTAGACCAGTTCATCAAGCTATAAAAAAAGTCAGCAATTAGCATATAATTTGAGGAGCAATGGCAAGAGGAAATTGGACCTTCTAGTTTTCACAATATTTCCCACACTGTTGTTTGTATCCTGTACATCACCAGGCCTATTGTTCTTCCCTCCATTGCATAGCCTTCTATTCTCCACTTCCCACCGATGTACACAATTTGTTGCATACTGCATATTCTCCCATCCTCTTTTCAAAACTTAAGGTTCAATCCTATCCTCAGAATGGTGATCAAGTCCAGGCTGCACTTCTTTGCAGCAAAAATCATGGCCCACAGGTCAGAATTCGAAGTTGAGGCCATGACTATGAGGGATCTCTTATAGAGCAAACATTCCATTTGTTCTAATCGATCTTTTGCATCTTCGAAAAGTGAAAGTAGACCTGCAAAGTAAAACTGCTTGGGTTAGAGTTGCTGCTACACTAGGTGAACTCTATTATCAGATTGCCAACCACAGTCAGAGTTTAGGATTCCCAGCTGGCATTTGTTCGAGGATAGGAGTTGTTGGCCATCTAAGCGGAGGGGGCCAAGGTACGCTGATGAGGAAATTTGGTGTGGCAGCCGATAATATAGTAGATGCAATCCTGGTTAACGCGAATGGTAACATTCTCAACAGAACAATGACGGGTGAGGACCTCTTTTGGGCCATCAGAGGAGGTGGTGGTGCAAGTTTTGGTGTCATTGTCGAATGGAAGATCAACCAGATTCCTGTCCCTCCAAAAGTTACCGCTTTCAATGTCCCCATAACCTTGCAGCAAGGTGCAACTACGGTGATTCGTAGGTGGCAACAAATTGCGCAAAGGTTACCTAAAGATCTGTTTGTAATGATAATCCTAACAGTGGGCAAGGAATCTGATGGTAGAACAACAGTCAAAGCTATCTTCAATTCATTGTATCTTGGACCACTTCATCAACTGATTCCACTGATCGATAATAAATTTCCTGAGTTGGGCGAACACTTGCAAGAAGAGCACTGCAAGGAACTAAATTGGATAGAATCCGTTCTATTCTTGGATAAGGAGTTTACAAAAGGCAGAAATGTTGATGTTCTGATGGACAGGAACAATGTTCTCAAGGGTCTTTTCACAGCTAAATCAGATTTTGTGAACAAACCAACTACAAAACGTGGGCTTAAAGCGATATGGAACGTGATGCAAGAAGGGGAAGCCGGTGTGATGATTTGGGATCCTTATGGTGGAAAAATGGAGGAAATAGTAGAAGATGGAACTCCGTTTCCTCGTAGAGCAGGAACCTTGTACAATATAAAATACTACAGCAATCGAAAGGAGGAGCCGAAACAGAGGAAGAACGGCACGGACTGAATTACCAAGCTTTATAATTTCACGGAATTAATATTCGAATGATCGCCATTCTTCTATTTGATGTTTACCATACAGTTCTAGACTCGCGACAAGCCAACCTTACAGGATCCCTACTGAAACATTCCTTTTCATCTAAAGCCCAACAGCTCAAAATGCCTCAAATAAAGAGATATGAAACATATCATTCTAGTTTCTCTGCAATACACTTAGGATTCAATCCAGGATGATTTTATGCAGTGTATGTCAACCCTGTTTAGGGTCTATACCAAAAGCTTTGAAATCATCTTCACCTCGGATTCCCCTTTGTTTTCATCTATTTTGCAATCCACTTTACGAAACATAAGATGGTTAAATACCTCTACCTCAACGCTTCTTTAATCACACCTTTCCATGAGCCTGAAATCCAAGCAGCCCTTCTTTGTAGCAAAAAAGCATGGTTTGCAAATCAGGGTCCGAAGTGGTGGCAATGACTATGAAGTCCTATCATACTTATGCGAGACCTCATTCATCATCATTGATCTTATCAGCCTTGGATCCATAGAAATCAATGTTAAAGAAGAAACCGCATGGGTTCAGTCTGGGAAGAATCTTGGTGAGCTTTACCATGCTAAGCGAGAAACGTAGCATCCATGCATTGCCGGAAGAACTCTGCCCTGCTGTCGGGGTCGGTGGACACTTCAGTGGAGGTGGTTTTGGGACCTTCGTTTTCATTCTTGTGCCTTTCAGCAGATAATGTCCTGCATGCTTACTTGATAGATGACAATGGACGAATTTTGGAAAGAAAAGCTATGGGTGAGGATCTGATTTGGTCCGAACTCCAAATCAAAACTGACAGGACTTCAAGCTACCTAGTACCTACCAAGCAAGGCAATGCATGATCAACTTCATGTCCTATTACTAATTACTTATTTCTGATAATGGCCTTCATTACAGATTTAACCATTTTAATTTTCCTTCAGATGCCATCCATAACACTATCTTGAAATGGAAAAAATTGTTAATATATATTTTCAAAAACAGTAATATTTAAAAAAATAAAAAAGGACTCGTAAGAAAGTAAGGACTTGCAGCTTTAAACATCCCGAACTATGAACCAACCTGTAACTGCTAGTAGTAACTGAAATATCTTACCCCATCAACCAAAAACAATAGTCAACAAGGCCAACTCCTATTCTTCCATCTTAGCCGAAATGTCTTTCTCCCTTAGCTTGGAAGATATGGCAAACTCCTATTCAGCAGAGGGTAGCATGGATCATCTAATACTAACCTGAACCTCAAGTGCTTTGCGTTAGAAGGGAAAAACTTTCAAACGATGAAACTGCAAAGACAGAAAACAACATCCAACAAAAGCGATATTCAAGTTGGAAAGTTTCGAATTTCCATATTTTCTTTCAACAAATCAAAATAATTAATAATATGAAAATTTTGTATGTAAAGGCAACAGTAATAGAATACACTTGAGCCCCAACACTACTCACAGACTGGTAACATCAAACCATAAACAAAAAGGTGCTTATGTCCCAAAAACCTACCAGTCATAAGAAACTACTTTTGATTTCTGAAATAATAAAGTTATGCCAAAATTTCTTAGATGTATCTTAATTTGAAATTTTGCAACTACATGAACTTTCACTTGCCATCTCAGTTAACAGACCGGAAGAGCCTAGTTGAAATTGCTCGCTGATCTTCAGTCAACAAAGAAAACCAGTTTCTTATAAGATCTGCAGGAACAAATTGACCTGACATGACTGGAAGCTTAACATTCTCCAGAATAACCTCCTCAAAATCAAGGGATATAAGCCCAACCAAAGCAGTAACAGTCGCAAGCTGGATGGGAAGACCTGCTCTAATAGTAGTCTCCCGCCACAGGAAAGCATATAACTTGACTCTCAAGTTTTCAACCTCTTTATCTTCATATCCAACAGCATCAACTCCAAGCCTGAAAAAAGGACATCATTCGAATGTGAAAGCTATATGAGACTTCCGAAGTAATATGAATTTTTCTCAGCTATATATTAATAGTGGCTAAGGTCCCCTCATAAATATGACATGTTCCCATTTCATAAGAAATAAAGGAAAAGAACCACATAGCACAAAAAGAACTTGCTTTATATGTTGTTTTTCCTTTGTTCCTTTCTCTCCTATCCCATAAAAGTGACACTCTCTCCTATCCCATAAAACCCACCCCATCCATCCCATGATTCAAACTCCAGACCTCCAAGGCGATCTCTGAAGTTTTAACCAAGGGGTTCTTCAAATCAAACTAAAACAAAAAACTTCTTCCATCAGATTCAGAATGCAAAGGGACTTAATACCAAAGCTTTCTTTAATTTCTGCCATTCTCCATTTTTAATACCAAAAAATTTCAATTTTCAGTCAAGCTATTCTCTGATTTATATGGTTCTCCATTTTTAATAGAATTTTAAGCCATCTCATAATCAGTTTACCACTACTACCATTTAGCAACAGACTCAAAGCTTTCTCAAATCTGCTAATTGCTAAAAACAGATTCAGATCAGCTTGTTAAAATTTGTGACTGGACCAGGAAGACCAAATTTATCATTTGGAATTTACAACCTACCTATCATTGAATTATTCAGGTTTCATTCTTGAATCCTAAACTAAGTGTCAAGAATTCTCTGGACAGTTTCAGGATTACCAAAATTGGTTGTGGTAAAAGAAAACCTGATTTTTTCTGCTTAAGTTTCAAGTACTCTGCCAAGTCACTTTTTTGTCTTCAACTGCAACAATTTGTCTCTTAACTTTTAAAGTCTAATTTTATATAGCTAAAAGATAAATTGAAGTAATTCCTTTTTCCAACATTGAGTTTCAACCAACATAATAACATGCTAAATGGAGCTCCCACCCCAAAGAACATTAAGATACCCTTATGGCAGAAACAATGACTGTAAGTCGAAGACAGGAATAGTTAAAGTATGTAAAAACAGACAAAAACTAATCGCAAGAATACCTCCCAAGTTGACCAAGAAGAATAATGATACCAATGGTGAGGTTCTCAAGAACAGATGACTCCAACATACTCCACAGCTGGGCAATGATTTTCTTGCATGTCCAGTCCCAGCTCTGTTTTCAAGAAAACATGAAGAAAAAAGAGGTTTAAAAATCTTAGTACAAAAGGGCAACCAATTTCACCACTATAAAGCAAAATCTAAAACCAAACATTTGGCATTTGTATTTCGGCTTTTATTTAAAAAAATATTTTAAAACCTATATAAAAATTATTTATCATAGAACTCAAGGCTAAAAACTTCTAATATTTTTTTGTGTAAAAAATTCAAAATTTTCGCTTCTGCCTGGGGAAAGTCATAGCCAAACACTACTCTTTAGTTCCTTTTATTTTCTGCAAATTTTCTTTCAAAAGGTAAAAAGTATCAGTTGTATCAAAAGCTACCGAATGAGTAACGCTCACTACAAACATAATTAGAAGAAGCACATACCATATTGCATGCAAGCAGCTCCATCAACGATAAGACATCAATAATGTCACACAAAGTCCCAGCAACACCCGATACTGAGTGTTTACCAGGCACAATGTACTTGTCTAAACAACAGGATGCATCATAATTCATATCAAGGACACAGCTCAAGTTGTGTTCAACTTTATCTTCAATGTACGTGACACTTGAATTAGATGAATTTGCTGTCCAATGTTGATGCATAATTCCTGACTGGGCATAATTCTGAAGCTTTGCAAAGAGTAATGAGACAACAATATCCACAGAAAGCGCATCCTTAGAAAATGGGCATCCAACACATGCATGGATCTGCGGTTGAACATCACCCACAGGTGAAAGAGTCGCTATAGCCACCGGTGCACATTCACTTTCAAGGAACATGACCACCGACTTCAATACAGTCATTATTAAACTATAATCTCTTAAGGTGAAAATTTTATTGCCACCCACATAAGCAAACACATGAAGAATAACCAGTACCACAGCAGTATCATATCTATGCATCCGGAAAATGTTATACACAGCTTCACACATAAAGCCAGCACGGTCAGCAGTTGCACATAATGAACCCAAAATAATGCTACCTCCCACCAACAGGTCAGCTGAAGCTGCTTCATGAGAAAATATTACATCCGAACCATCAATAATGACATGCATTTTTGAATCACATTCAACAGCAGTCTCAGAAGACAGATTAGTATACAACATAACTCTCCCGTCTATAAGAAAATCCTCCATTACACTAAGCAGTTCATCCAAACATAATTCAGAAACTAAACTTCTTGACTCAGCATCAGACATCACTGCACCAAATAAACAGTTAAATAGATCAAAAGTAGAAACAAAATATTATAAGAACTAATACAAATACAACAAATCCAACAATAACCAAGACATAGATAAAAGTTTGACCATACCTTCATCAATGTGTTCAGCAAACAAATTTAAGCTTGGGATGAAATCCCTAATCAGAGAGAATTTCCCTGAAGTAGCTGTACAGAAGTTAAAAAGCACCAGCGAGAAAAATACACAAACTCTCTCCCTGAAACAGGAAAAACCATGAAGTTTCATAAAGAAATGCTCAGCATCTACTTATGAAATAATTTAACAGTTATAGGAATCCAAGTAGAGTATCAGAACAAACTAATCAAGAGGTAAAAAACTCATACACAGCCCTTAAAACACTTACTTGGGTAAAAGCTTTTCTTCCAGTTTAAGAGCATGTAAAATTCTATGCACGACAAACTGTGCCTGAGAAGGCAAAGAGCATTGAGCCATACAAGTTTTAGTCGCACAAAAAATTCTAGAGACACTGCTACCATCCTTAATGTTAGAGAACATAACACAGTATTTCGGAATACTTTCAATGGTGGATCTAATTTCATTTTCAAATGGAATGTCTGCCACTCCATCCAAAGAACTAGGAACAACTGACATATCCATTTCCATTCCAGAATTCTGGTAATGGCTTAAACAGGCTTTTCCTGCTGGCATAGTACTGCAAAAACCTTTCTCGTTACTCCTTAGAATGTCAAAGGAACCAAGAGAACACTCGTTCTGATGTTGTAATAATTTAGGTGAAGTGTCCACCCTATTACATTGCATCCTATTGGAACCATTCTCCACATTCATAACATCAAAACTGTCAGAAGATGCAATATTTTCACTTTTGTGAGAGAATCTCTCGCAATTCTCATCCTGTATTGGTCTAAATTGATCCACCTCAAATGTTTCAATCCCTGGAACTTCAATCTCGGGAAGCGTAGGGGATACAGGCATTTCTGCTGCCATCCTATAGCATTCCTCCTCGGCAGCATCATCCAAATCCAGCAATTTCATATAGTTCTTGTTGACAACTTCCTCAAAACCAACCATAATTTTTGGGTCAATTGTATCGGGGTTGGACAAGTGTTCAGGGCAACTTTGCATCTGCTTCATCTGCAAACCATCACAAGATTGCTCCATAACTACTGTCCCTTCATGAGACTTTTTTCTCCTCTTATGAGACCCATCATGCACAGCATATGCAATATCATGCAGGTTAGGTCTCACAAGTTTTGAACCTTCTCTGGGCTTGTCCATATGCCCTTTTACCATACAATGCAAAACTGATAGCTTGTCCTCAAGCTGTTGATTCAACTTCTTACTCTCACAGCACAAAAGTTGAATAGATTCTACAGCGTCAAGTAACATTTTCCTATTCCTAATACGGCCATTAATTCTCCCCAGAGGACATCTAACACTATTTTCAGCAACCACAGCAAGATTTTCATTGCACCTATTTTTTGTAACTTCACCAAACATACTTGAAATAGTTGGCTGTAAATTTAAGTTCTCTTCACCCAGTTTTGCTGATGTGGTAACAGAAAGAGTACCCCTTTCCTGTGAGCCCACCAACTGTCTATCAGAAAAAGATGCCATACTGGAATTTATAGCAGAACTCTGTAACATTTTTCGATTAGAGCCTTCAAGCAGAGACTCCAATTTAGAATTAATACCTGTGATGGATTCAGTACAGCTCCCTCCTTGTATTGGAGGCAAATGGGCATCATGTTGAAATGTTTCCCCAAGAGAATCGAACACAGTTGAATCCATGCACCTAGTCTTCAGCAGTTGATTTTCAGTTTGAAGACATGTTTGACATAATTTTAAGCTGCACAAATTTTTTTTCAACTTTGACCATTGCATACTTGCAAAGTCTCCAGCCTGCAAATCGTATCAAACAATCCCATGTACAAACATGATCAGAATTTCAGGATGAATTAATAATTAAAAAAAAAACAAAAAGTTGTGCATACTAGATGAACAACCTTACACATTGCAAATTGAAACCCTAAACATAAAAGTTAACTAAGATGAACCACAGAGCATATTTAAATTCTTTTTTAAGAACTATGGTACCCAAAATACACAATACTGGAATATAAGGGAGATAAAATATACAAAGAACAGTTAGAAGGAAGGCAATCCCTCTCTCTCTGTCCCCCACCCCCAACAAGCCCCTCTTCTCTCTCTTTCCTGCCCCTCACTTCCTCTCTCTTCTTCCATCCTTTCTTTTGGAATGTTTTCTTTTATTTTCTTTTTCAGTTTTTCCCGGGCTGGGGAAATTAAATTACCAAGCGCTTGTGGGAGTTCCAGTGAATCATAAATCATATCAGTGATGTGCAAATAAATTAAAAGTGCCCACAAATAAAGGTAGCATTGAAAGCAAACTTATCCTCTACCCACCAGTTCAATAACACTAAAGTGCCATCAGGAAACCTTCAGTCTGAGAAAAATCAACCAGTAGCAAAGTACAGTATCAAACGCCAAAACCTGTATGCTATTTTTCAAAAATGAATTATACCACTATGATCATTAAGAATTGAAATTTCGAAGAAAAATAAAGGGTAAAAAATGCAACAAGAAAGGAAAACAGAGATATGAATACCAACTGAGAAACTAACCTTTTCCATGTCATTTATACCTTCAGCAGGAGTTGAGAAACATGCATCCAATGAATCCAAGCGGTTCAAAAATTGAATTAACTCAAGCTTCATGCAACCTACTTCTTGTTGCAAAAGACTGTTACGATTTTTTTCCAACCTAGCCACATCTTTTGCATGCTTTACTCTTTTCTTTTCAAACTTCAGTTGTTTTTTCAAAAGCTTTACTTTTGCTACTTCAGCACTAATGCCTTTGTCAGATGAAACAACCAAAGCATCAACCACTTTTCTGGAGGATGAGAGTTCATATATCTGCTTCTGCAATTCATTAATCTTCAGCCTGGCATCTTCTAACTGCTTTGATAGATGATCACCACAATGTTTTCCTTCAACAGCCTTCTTAGTATTCAGCTCCACAAGCTTTCTTCTCTTTTCTGCTATCCTTGTCTTTGAATCTGCTTGTTTTCTCTCACTAAAAGCCTTTTCTTTCTCAACCTCCTCAAATTGCAAAGAGTCAGAAGCTGCCCTTGACTTATCTGTATCTTCCTTCAACACCTCCAATTGTGCTGCCTTTTCTGTTTTTGCAGCGGCAGCGCTTTTATTTCTATCTGGTTGGTCAAAACGACCCTCCCCCAAATTTCTTGAGCCAGAAAGTTCATGTAACTTCTTCTCTAGTTCTTCATTCCTTCTTCTAGCCTCTTCCAGCTGTTTGGCCAAATTGTCAGCATGCAACTTCTCTTCAACAGTTCTCTTCTTAGATGCTTCTGCAATCTTCCTTTGCTCCTCTACTTTAGCCATCTCCTCAATAGCACGTTTTCTGCATTCAACAGCCTTCTTAGTTTCTTCTGCAACATTCCTTCGCTCCTCTGCTTTAGCCATCTCAAAATCGGCAAGTTTTCTTACTTCAACAGCCTTCTTTATAGTTTCTTCTGAAATCTTCCTTTGATCCTCTGCTTCAGCCATCTTTAAATCAGCACGTTTTTGTTCTTCAACAGCCTTCTTCTTAGTTTCTTCTGCAATCTTCCTCTGATCCTCAGCTTTAGCCATCTCCATATCAGCACGTTTTCTTTCTTCAACAGCATTCTTCTTAGTTTCCTGTGCAATCTTCCACTGCTCCTTTGCTTTAGCCATCTCCACATTGGCACATTTTCTTTCTTCACCTGCCAGCTTTTTTTCTTCTTGTAGCTGCTTAGTTGCCTCATCAAACTTTAACTTCTGAGTAACCAACTTGGATTTTACTTCGCTAACTTCTTTTCTTAATGCCTCCAATTGTGTTCTGTACTCCTCAGCCTTCTTTCGTTCAATATCAACAAGCCTCTGTTCTTCACCAGCCTTACCCTTCTCAGTTTCTGCATGTTTTGATACTTCAGCAGCTTTCTTCTTAGTTTCCTCTGCAATCTTCCACTGCTCCTTTGCTTTAGCCATCTCCAAATTGGCATGTTTTCTTTCATCACCTGCCAGCTTTTTTTCTTCTTGTAGCTGCTTAGTTGCCTCATCAAACTTTAACTTCTCAGTAACCAACTTGGATTTTACTTCGCTAACTTCTTTTCTTAATGCCTCCAATTGTGTTCTATACTCCTCAGCCTTCTTTCGTTCAATATCAACAAGCCTCTGTTCTTCACCAGCCTTACCCTTCTCAGTTTCTGCATGTTTTGATACTTCAGCAGCTTTCTTCTTTTCCAAATCTGCCCTCTTCTTCTCTTTCTCAACAAGCTCCTTGAGCCAGTTTATTTCCTTCTCCCTGTCAAAAACACTAGCTTTAAGAAGCTTTATTTCTTCAGCTTTATCTTCGACATTTGAAACTCCCTTTTGCTTTAAGTTGGATATCTCAGACTTTAGAGCAGATAACTCATTCTCCAACAAAACTCTTAAAGCCAATTCTTTTTCTCTTCCCTCTTTCTCCACCTTTGCACGTGCCTGCTCTTCTTCATATACTGCAATGTGCAAAGTTCGGATCATTGAAACAAAAATTGCAGGACAATTCAAATTGAACCTCTAATACTTTACTATAAAAATCAACATAATGAAATTCACAATAGATGGAAGAAGACTCGACTCAATGTATGCAATCACACCTTCTTTAACGCAAGCAATGGTTTAATTCCATTAGCCGACATATGTTTCAGCTAAATCCTTCAAACTTCTTATATAATTATAATTAACAGATAAAAAAAAAACACAAACAAATGAAGGAAAGGAAGTTAAATGCAGTCGCATTACTTTTACCTTTCTTGAGAGTCAAATTCTGGGCTTGAATATTATCACATCCTTTTTCAAGTAGACGCACTGCTTGCTTTAGACAAATTCGCCCCTTTTCTGCCTTTGAATATTTGTTTTTCCACTAAAAGAAAAAAGAATTTAAGAAAAAAATTCCATATCGTAAAACGTGCTTCTCTAAATTGAAAGCATACCACTTGACAGCAGGGTGAGACTTGAACATCCTCCACTGGCGACTCTGCAACACTCGTCTCTGCCGTGTCAGGAACATCCACCGCCATTGATGCAAAAAGTATCTAGAATTTGAGATTAGGAAATCATCAAAATAATCAGACTGCAAAAAAAAGGAAAGCATTTTTTAAAATTCTTGACTAATCCTTTTTTCTTTAGGTAAATTCTCAGGAAACAAACATCGCAAGAGCTTGAAATTATCCACATAAAAGAAAAAAATAAAAAAAGACTTACTTGTATTAAATTTAATATTCTGGGAATGGCGCCTTACATGTCCCAAATCAAATGCAGCAAAAAAAAAATAATAAAGGAAAGAAAAGAAAAGAAACGAAAAACCCTAAACCTTGATTTTGGAGAGAGAAGAGACTGCTGTGGCGAATAAACTCTAGAAGTAGAAGTCTAATGACCCGACCAATGAAAATATATGCGCGAGTCGACCCGATTGTGAAGCGAATTTCGGAGTCGAAACTGGATTTCTCTCCCCTTTTATGGATCCAACTCAACAGTATTTTTTTTTTCTGTCAAGAATTTGGGCTGCTTTTTATTGCTAATAAACGTACTTTCTTAATAAATCAAATTAAAAATAGTATAAAGTTCCTTTCCTCTTCCAATTTTATTTTTGGGTCTTGAGCATAATTATCGGACGAGATATTAAATCGTTCAAGATTTAAGATTATCAATTCAATGGTTCGATCATCAGACCAATAAATTAATTATCAATTTAATAAAAACAATTTTAAAATTTTAAAATTTAAACTTTTAATTAAAATTATAATTTAATAATTCAGCCATAAAATTATAAATTTTAAGACATATCATAAATTTTAAATTTTAAAATTTAAAATTCATAAAATAATTAATTACTAGTTAGAAATGAAATTATTTAATATTTTATTAAAATCATATTTTATATTTTAATAGTTAGAAATAATATTTATATTTTAATAAATATAATAAATAATAAGTAATAAATAATTATTATTTATATTTATTAAAATATAATTATTATTTATTAATATATAATAATTAATCTTTATGTAATAAAAAAGAAATATCTATATATAAAATTAATAAAAAGGAAATATTTATATTTAGATGAAAATTAGTAAAAAGAAAATTAAAATCATTTTTATATTTTTTATATTAATGTAGATTTTTTTATTAATTTTAATATATACATTTTCTTTTATTAATTTTAATATATACATTTTCTTTTATTAATTATTTTTTATCATGGTTAAATAATTAATCATTTTTATTAATATTTATTTTTTTATTAATTTTATATATTATTAATTTTATAATTATTTTTAATTATGATATCAATTAATAAAATTTTTTGTTAGATTATCTTTTATTGAAAATTACTTATTTTTATACATATATAAGTTTTTTTAATTATTCATGTATCAAAATATACTAACATATCATTAATATAATAATGCAAGGATTTTAATAGTAAAAAATAAGAATTAGAAGTTTATTTAGATCAAATAGTAGTATAAGAGTTTAATTATATTATTTTAAATACTTGTAAGATTTTTTTTATATTTTATCTAAACTTATTAATTAGTATTAAATCAGTTTGATTTAAAAAATTTATTTAATTTATTAATTTATTATGTAAACCATCTATTCATAATAATTTAAAATAATTTAATTACAAAATTAAATCTATATCAATATCAATTTACTAATTCATCTTATCGAACCAATGATCTTATCTAATTTTGATAACTACAATAGCGAGGCCTAACTCCTAAACTTTTTACTGTGTGTATATATTTGTAGTTTGCACCGCCTTAGTGCCCCCGTAAGGCTAAAGAGATTTTTTTTTTACCAAAAATTAATATGTATAAATATTGGATAAATTATAAGATTACTCACTATCACTCAAGCTAATGTTTATGAATTTTTTTTTCTTTTTTCTGTTGAGGTCGCATTGTCATGTTATTTATTACTTGTCACATGGCATTTATCACGTAACACTTGAGATATAGCATTACAAATTTTAAAAAGAAATGGATATTAAAAAATTATTTAATTTTGTAGAAAAATTTTATTTACTTGTCACATGATATTTATCACGTAATACTTGAGATATAGCATTACAAATTTTAAAAAGAAATGGATATTAAAAAATTATTTAATTTTGTAAGTAAATTTTATTTATTTGTCATATGGCATTTATCACGTAATACTCGAGATATAGCATTACAAAATTTAAAAAGAAATGGATATTAAAAAATTATTTAATTTTGTAGGTAAATTTTATCTAAATTTTTTAGATTTAGTCAAAATTCAAGCTAATTCCGTTCGTTAAAAAATGAATATCAGGTTCTAAAGTTATCAATTTGGTTATATAAATTAGTCAAGTTATTAATTCAGTTTTAAAATATCTATTAAAAATATTGTAAAAATCATTATGCCTTTAAATGAAAAAGAACTTAAAATATTTAGTTTTTGATGGAAAATTTTGATATTTTTACAACGGCAAAAAAATTTACAAATTTAGTATTTTCAATTATTTCATTTTTTTAAAACAAAAAGATAAAAAAAATTTTGCTAAGTCTTTTTAGTTCCTTTTCCTAAAACAGAAAAAAACCCTTTTATTTCTATTGTTTCAAATAAAATTTTCTTTTGTGGCTTTGTTAAAATTTAATTAAAGTTTCTTGCACTTTTTTTAGATTTTGTATTTTCAAAGTTGTTTTTAAAAAAATGTTGCATTATAAAAATAAAAAAATTCAAAAAAATATAGAAAAATTTTGCATTGTCAAAATAAAACAAAAATTTTAATTCTTTTCATTCTTAAAAAAATTTTATTTTATTTTCTTCATTTTTTGATAACTTAATTTTTTGAGAGTTTTTATTTTGACTGTTCAAATTTGAAAATTTCTTAATTTGATCATTAACATTATAAAATTTATTAATATAGTAATGTCATGTGACAAATAGTAGATGACATGGCAATGTCATATCAACAAATTGTTATTCAATAAGAACTTAATGATAAAAAATTTTAAAAACATTAGCGATTAAATAGTAACTGTCATATTTGGATAATCAAAGTGAACGCTTGAAATCTTTATTAACTAATCTTATAATCTACACTTACGTATTTTTATAAAATTGAATATATATATATGACTGAATTTTGAGCAATAAATATAATAATTAATACTCATTAAATATTAAATGTTTTTTGGTAAATAAGGGAACAAGTTCATTAAAAAAAGTTAAACAATTCGATACAAGAAAGTCCCAGAAACATTAGCCACCAAGAGCGGCTGGATAAAGTTAGAAGGACAAGAATGGATAACAAAAAGATTGTCAAAAGTTGTATAACTAGAGGTATTGCTAGTACAAAAGTCCCAGCTATCCTGGGTGAGGTTACTGCCTTTGCGAGCAAGAGCATCCGCGCATATGTTCCCTTCACAGAAAGTGTGGGTGATTCTCGGTGATTCTCTTTTGTTGGAACCGATTCAGGAGAGTCCTGCAATCACAAATTAAAGGGTCAAGCATATGATTTGTGGATGACTGGTTGGAGATGAGGCTGATAACAGCTATTGCGTCAACTTCAAATTCTAAGCTGGAGATTTGTTTTTGAAGAGCCAAGGCAAGGCCATCTCTCAGAGCCCAGAGCTCTGCTTCAATGCTAGTAGCTTTTCCTATGTGTCTAATTGAACTAGCAACCCAATTTCCTTCATGATTGATAATGATGGCGCCAGCAACAACGGTGCCAGGATTACCGATGGCTGAGCCATCAGTGTTGAGCTTATGCCAACCCTTGGCAGGACGTGACCATTTGACAGGGATGAATGAGGGAGAACTTGCTTTGTGACAGTTGTGAGATAAAGCAAAGAATTCCGTCGCGCGGCTAATGGCCTGGTAAAATATAATAAGGGAGGGTTTGGTGTTTCGCCTGGTAAAATATGGTAAAATATAGATCGCTGCGTTTCTAGCAAGCCAAAGTTCCTAAATAAAGTGAATGAAAATGAGTTTTCAGGGAATGCAATGGGCATGGTAGGATAGTTTAGAAGTCATGTGGCTCTTGAGCGAAATAGGAAGGGGGCTGGAAAAGGAGCAGATTAGCTGATGAGGGACCTTTATGAGTTGCCGCAGTGACAGTAGGGTGGGACTGGCTCTAAGAATGTGATCGAGACTCTTTTCATGGTTGTGGCGAAGAGGGCAAGATGAAGTAGGAACAATGCCCCTCCTAGCAAGAAAACTTCTAGTTGGAAGGATCTGGTGGGTACATTCCTACAGGAAAAACTTGAGTTTTGGGAGGGTGTTTTGTTTCCAAATCCATAACCAATCAATCTCGGGTTGAGGCGCAATAAAAGGATCGATTTCGAGGGCAAGTTTGTACGTGCTAGGAAAAGTGAAGCATCCGTCCCTCGAAAGGTTCCCGCAGATAGTGTCAGCGGTAACATGATGGTGGGGAAAAGGCAAGCGAAGGATAATGCTAAGGATATCAGAGGGAAGGGAGAATGAGATGGGTAGGTTAGCATCCTGTTTGAACATAGATATGAAATCTTTGACCTTGAAGTCATCCTCTATTAGGTTAAAGAGGCCAATAACCAGGGAACGTAAGGTGCCAAGACCTGTCCAATTATCATGCCAAAAGTTCACTTGGTGACCATCTCTAACGATCCATCTTATACCTTTTTGGAGTTTAATTTAAGCCGATTTCATGGACTTCCAGGTAATGGAGGCTTGGGGGTTATTCTTGGGAGGGCCATGGATATTAAGGTATTTGGCCCTCAAGGTTTTAGCCCATAACGACTCCGGGTGATTGAGCAGTCTCCAACTGAGTTTTGTAAGATGAGCCAGATTGTGGGGTTTTGAAAGGCGGATGCCAAGTCCTCCATCCTCCTTGGGTTAAGTGACTGTGGACCATTTGATTCGATGGAGTTTCCTAGAGTTCTTAGAGCCTCTCCGCAGAAAGTTTTTGTTGACTTTGTCAAGGTCCTTGCATATACTAGTAGGGAGTGACCTGCATTGCATATAATAAAAGGGAATAGTAGCAGTAGTTGATTGGATAAGGATGAGGCGACGAGTTGGAGATAAGAGGAGAGCTTTCCAGCCTACGAGTTTTGATTTGACCTTATCAAGGATGAACATGCAATCTTACTGTTTTGCACGGCCGTGGTGGAAAGGAAAGCCAAGATATTTACCAAGCTTTGAAATAGCATTTATGCCGATGCAAAAGGTGGTTCTAGTAATTTGATCCTGGGTAGCAATTGGAGAGAAAAGAATTTTTTATTTTTGGAGACTGATGCATTGTCCTGACTCGTTACAATAGTTAGCTAGAATGGTGCTGGTCGATTTTTTATCTGTTCTAGCAAAAAGGAGGATGTCATCAGTGAACAGAAAATGGGAAAACTTTGGGCCCGATCGAAAGAAGCTAGGAGGAAACCACTCCTTTCTTTCACAAGCCTAGTTGATCAAGTGGCCGAGATATTCCATGCAAAGGATAAAGGGATAAAGAGATAAGCTGTCAAGTTTACCACCGTTGACAATGACAGACATGGAGGAAGATAAGACACAATTCATGATAAGAGAGATCCAGTTTTTGAGAAAGTTGAATAAGTACAAGTTCTTCCTGATG